CTTCAATGAGGATAACAGATGCTTCAACGTCTGTACTTCCACTGGGGATTACAATACTGACTCCATTAGGGCAGATGGAAATCATACCGTCGAGATATCAGTTGGGGATCCCATGTTGGCTTCATTGGGAAGTACAACACCACATCATTGAGGGGAGCCCAAAACATATTCTTCAATACTAAGAGTGATGATTACGCAAAACTTCTCTGGGGAGAAATTATGAAATCACACGGGGATAATAACTTCCCGACAGAAACATTAACTCAACTTTACTTGGGGATATAAGAAGTTAAACAATAGAGCAAGAAATCAAAATTATGGGGATTTTAATCAAAACCAGCGCTTGGCGGGAGAAAACCCAAAAAAAGTTGACAACTGTTTGAACACTTCTTAGAAAAGATAATTCCCTTGTCTAGTTACCAAACAACAACAATAATTCCAACACTGCAAAGGAAGATGTTTTGCAAATGATTCCACATTATCACATATAGGGAAAAGGAATTTCCGTCATATGAGTGAAGACCTCACTGGGGAATCTGGGGTAGAGGGTTCAAACCATGCAAAACCTGAAATCAAAATAAATATTCTAGAGGAAAAACTGAACCAAGACTTGACTGGGGAAAATGGGATTACAAACCCAACACCGCACCACACATCAATTGGTATCATCTCCAACTATTTGATAAACAACAAGAAGATCATGCACATATCAGCAAAAACGACCTGAAAGAACTTTCCTGGGGAATAGCTACTTCAGAGTTCGTCCATCCTCGGAATCACTATTTTTGTTTTTTCTTGAGCCACAAAATCTAAAGTAAAATGTAATTCGTAAATTCTTTTCAAAAACAATTTTATTATTAAATCTCTTTGTTTTGAAAATTACTATCAATAATAAATGGAGTCTTTGTAAGCAGAATAAAATAAGAATTGCAAAGAATTGGATAAAATCTCAAACTTTATTAATAAAATGGTAGTCTGCGAATGGCAAGACCCCATAGATGATTACAAAGTTTGGAAAATGGTAATACATTGGAAAAGATACATTGAAATACAATGACCATTATTCTCCCTAACAACTTTAAATTCCTGAGCAGCAACTTCTATTGAAGTTGGTGAGGATCCAAGAAGATTGTTGCTTCAATGACTAAGTCTTGTATGACATAGTTACTTGCCAAGAAATCCCTAACTTTTTCCTAAGTTTCCCTTGCGGGTTTTCAACCTAGCGGGAAGAATCTATTCTGTTTATGTCTCTAATTTTTCCTAGACCGCCCTTTCGGGTTTTCAGCCTACCGAGATGCTCTTTTTTTTCCTAAGCCGCCCTTTCGAGTTTTCAACTTAGCGAGTTGTTCTTTTATTTCTTTAGGCGAAGTATTTCTTAACTGCATCAACATTCATAGGACGTGGAAACTCCTCACCATCCATAGTTTCAAGAATCAATGCGCTTCTAGAGAAGGCTTTCTTGACAACATATGGGCCTTCAAAATTGGGAGTCCACTTGCTCCTAGAATCAACGTTAAAAGACATGATTTTTCTGAGCACGAGGTCGCCTTCTCTGAATTCACGAGGCTTGACCTTCTTATCAAAAGCTTTCTTCATTCTCTTCTGGTATAACTGGCCATGACACAAGGCCATCATTCTCTTTTCTCCAATCAAATTTAATTGGTCAAACCTGTTATGGACCCATTCAGCCTCTGATAACTTGGTTTCATTATCACACGTAAAGAGGGAATCTCAACCTCAACGGGGAGCATTGCTTCCATACCATACACAAGAGAGAACATGGTTTCCCCCGTTGAAGTGAAGACAGATGTATGATACCCGTGCAAAGCAAAAGGGAGCATTTCATGCCAACCTTTATAAGTAACAACCATCTTTTGGATGGTCTTCTTAATATTTTTATTAGCAGCTTCCATAGCCCCATTCATCTTTGGCCTGTAAGGAGGTGAGTTGTGATGGAAAATATTGAATTCTTCACAAAGTTATGTTATCATCTTGTTATTTAGATTCGAGCCGTTATCAATGATAATCCTGCTCGGCACACCATATCGACATATAAGAATGTTCTTGATAAAGCGGACTACCACCTGCTTAGTAACGTTAGCATATGAAGCTGCTTCCACCAATTTGGTGAAGTAGTCTATTGCCACCAAGATAAAACGATGTCCATTCGAAGCCTCGGGTTCAATCATTCCAATCATGTCAATACCCCACATAGAGAAAGGTCATGGGGAAGAAATAACATTGAGAAGTGTCGAAGGAACATGGATTTTGTCAGCATAAATATGGAATTTATGGCACTTCTTTGCAAATTTGTAACAGTCAGATTCCATTGTCAACCAATAATAACCTACTCTAAGCATATTCTTTTCCATCAAATGTCCATTGGCATGGGTACCAAAGGAACCTTCATGAATTTCATGCATCAACATGTCTGCTTCGTGTCTATCCACGCATCTGAGAAAGACCATGTCATAATTTCTTTTGTATAACACATCTTCATTGAGGAAAACGCTGCCGGCCAACCTTCTCAATGTCTTTCTATCCTCGTTTGATGCACCAGCCGGGTATTCCTGATTCTGGAGAAAATGCTTGATATCATATTATCAAGGTTTTTCGTCTGACATTTCCTCTGCTGCAAACACATGAGCCGGTCTATCCAGGCGTCGAACTATGATACGAGGCACGTCGTTCCAAGTATTCACTTGATACATAGAAGCCAGAGTGGCCAAAGCATCCACCACCTGATTTTTGTCTCTAGGAATATGATGGAATTCAACTTTATTAAAGAAAGGTAATAATCTTCTAACATAGTCTTTGTAGGGAATCAAGCCAGGGTGACGAGTATCCCATTCCCCTTTAATCTGATTTATTATCAAAGCTGAATCGCCATATACATCTAGAATTTTGATTCTGAGATCTATAGCCTCCTCGAGTCCCATGATACAAGCTTCATACTCTGCCATGCCAATAATTCACAACACCTCACAACTTCAACGAATAATTCGAAAATATTTAATTAAATAATTAATTAAATTAATGGGCGTTACACATGTCATGCAAATTAATATAATTCAGTTTTTTAATTTAATAATTATTTTAATATTTAATTTATGCAAATAAGCTAATATTATATTAATCACACCACATCTATCTTCATAAACCCTAATCACCCCATATCTATCCTCAAAGAAACGCCTCCTTCTTCTTCCTATTGTATTCTTCTCATACCTCATAAACCTTTCATCCACTATTTCTTCCCACCGTCCTCTTCTTCAGTCTCCAAACAACTAAGTATTTGTAACTCATTTGATGTTTCCTTCACCCACCAGGTATGTCTGAAACAAAATTTTCATTTGCCTCAACAATTCAGTCTGGTGCAAGAAGAAGAGGGAGTATATGTTGGTGTGGGTTTGAGTCTCCATTGATGAAGTCATGGGCCTACAAGAATTCAGGAAGAAGATTTCATGGTTGTGGTAACTTCAAGGTGTTACCGAAAAAAGGTTGTAATTACTTTCATTGGTTTGATGAAGACATGAGCAACAGAGCAAAAGACCTGATTAGAACTTTGAAGGACAAGAATGACGAGATTGCTTCTTTACTTAGGGACGCCAAGAATAATGAAAATTTTCTTAAGATGAAGATTAAGGTGGTGTCTTATTTTGTTGGTTTATGTATGGCGTTTGTGTTATTAATTGTGTTTGCATTGGTTCTAACACATGCACTCAAATGAAGTTGGTTGTAGGGTGTTAACTAAAATTAGATCTGATGTAATTTTTATTCTTGTACTTGAATTGTTATTTTTCATGGAATGAAAATTGACATAAGTTTGCTCTAAGTCTATGTACTTTAATCGTTACTTTATCTGCAATTGTGTCTATCTGCAATGTTGTGTAATAAAATTTTTTCTATAATTTGGCCATAAATAAAAGCTTAAACTATTTCAAAAACATGTAATAACTTGTAACCATAATTTTCATAGCATAACAGTTTAGCAGCATAACAGACTACCAGCACAACAACTTAAAGATGACCCTAAATGTTTTGGTCATTACAAAAGAGATAACAAACAACACAAAACAAACTGCAAGATAACAGAGTGACTATTCTTGGATTGCATAATAGACTACCAGGACAACAACTTAAACATGACCCTAAATATTTTGGTCATTACAAAAGAGATTACAAACAACATAAAACAAACTGCAACATAACAGGGTGACTATTCTTGGGTTGATGGTGGTGCTTGTGATCCTCCTGCAGTTACCATTTGTCCAGCAACTTTGTCAACTTTTTTTTCCTTTTTATTGCCACCTTTAGGAATCGCTCTCTCTGTTGCTCTCTTCCCTTTACACGTTCACTTGTTATGGCCAAAGCTACCGTATTTCTTGCACTTGACAATTTGAAGACTTCTAGGCAGTGTATTTCTTGTTCTTGGTTCATCATTTACCTTGTTGCGATTCTTCTTTGGACGACCGATAGTCCTCCTCATGACTGGAGGGTTGATTGGGTTAGTAACATTAGCAGACCATAGTTGTGGGCCATTAGTTGGCATAACGATATGGCCATAAGTTGCCAACACAGTAGACTTCCTATTCACATAAAAATTATGCATTAGTAAGTTAACATATTATAAATAATTAACATAATATGAGAATTAGTATTACCTATAGAACGATGAAACAAAAATGTTTGGGCTCTTTCTTGGCATACCATATGCAAGCGATAGTATGGCAACATGGGATTCCGATTAAATCCTACTTCCTACAACCACACTTCTTTTGCAGTAAGTTAACAGATATGTCTCAAAACCGTTTGAAACCCTAAAAATAGCAAATTCATCATTGGAATGCCATGTTGCAATCCACTCTTCTGCTGCCCTCATTGTTTTTTCCAATACTTTTTGAATGTTAGGACTTATTACACCATCGTACCTACGTAATTTCTCCTTTTGAGTTGAAATTCTAACTGTTATATAATGTTTGATTCCATCTAGCAGTGAAATGATTGGCATGTCTTTATATTCCAATATCGCTCGATTAAAAGCTTCGCACATGTTGTTGACTTACAAATTGTATTATTTGTTTGTCTTGAAATGCGATCTACTCCAACATGCAGCAGGTACAAACATTATGTCTTTCCAAGCATTCTCATTGAGCTCTATCATGAAGTATATTGCTCTTTCCCATCCAGGTATTGTTGTGGTCCTAGCTTCCCTCCATAAAGCTTCCTTCATATGTATCCTAAGATATTTCTTCCTCCAATTGCCATACAAGTGTTTAACACACAACCTATGTTCAACATGTTTGCTTATCTCTAGAATAGCTGGTACTAGACCTTGTTCAATAAGATGACATATTTAAGATGACATATTTAAAGACATCATATGACATATTTAAAGACACAATAAGTCAGTAAAACTAACCTTCTGTTGACCAGATATAAATCTGTAGTCCATGTCTTGAATGGATTGCAAGTCTTCAAGTAATAACTTAAGGAACCATTGCCAAGAGTCCTTTGTTTCAGCTTCCACTACGGCATAAGCGATTGGATAAATTCTTCTATTTCCATCCTTCCCAACGACACCTATTAACTGACCTCCAATGTCCCATTTCAAAAAACAAGCGTCCAATCCAATTAAAGGCCTACAAGTGGTTGCAAATACTGCCTTACAAGCCTCTAAACATACGTATATTATTTCAAACACAGGTCCAACATCTGAATCAACACACTTGATTTTAACAGTAGAATTCAGATTTGACTTTAACAACTCCTCAACATAAATCCTAAGATGGTTGAACTGATCTTGACCAGCACCTTGAATTAACTCTATAGCTTTTCTCTTAGCTCTATAAGCTTGATGGCTTGACAGCTTCACAACCTATCTCCTAACACCTTCTGCAATCATCTCTTTATTCTTCATTTTAGGAGCGTGTCTTAGGGTATCCACAAATTTGCGAGCTAACCATTGTGTTGTCGCTTGTCTATTCTTGGATGTCCTATGACAAGCATGTAGATCAGTGAAGCTAACAATTTTCCAAAATTGGCTGGTAGACCTCATGGTAAACCTAATATGAAATGGACAACCTACAATACATTTGGCAACCACTCTCTTCTTGTCATTCTTCATGATTTTGATACTCTTTTTGTTCTCCATAGCAAACTCCTTAATGTCATTTCTTATTTTCTCTTTATCCTTGAACATCATTCCTACTTCAAGTTTTCTAGATCCTTTAAAAGTTGGAAACCTTTCCATATCAACTTCGGCATCACTATCTGATGGAGTATGAAGCACATATGAATCACAACTTTCATTATCAGAAATATCATTCATCCTTGAAGGTTTTTTTTCTTTTGTAACTGTAGGGAGAATTGTCTTCCAATCAACAACAACATCCTGATCTAAATCCAACTCATCTAAGTCAACTTCTTCATCATCATCCTCATCATCCTCACTACTCAAGTTATAATATGGACCTGTTTCACTATCTTCAGCTGAATTTTCAACATCAGTAACCACTATATTTTCCTCCTCACTAACTTCTTCATTATTAACCTCTATATTTTCATCTTCACTAACTTCTTCAGTAACCTCTACATTTTATTCTTCTCTAACTTCTTCAGTGGCGTCCACAGTTGCTCCCTCACCATTAACCTCCATAGTTTCCTCAACATTAACCTCCACAGTTTCCTCAACAATTTCTCCCTCCCCATTAACCTCCACAATTACTCCCTCACCATTAACCTCCACAATTTCCTCAACAGTTGCTCCCTCACCATTAACCTTCACAGTTGCTCCCTCACTATTAACCTCCACGTTTTCCTTAACAGTTTCTCCCTCCCCATTAACCTTCATACTTTCCTCAAAATTTTCTTCCACATTTTCTCCCTCACCATTAACCTCATCATTACTTCCTTCCTAAAAAATAACATCATGAATACATACTTCTTCAACTTTGTGTTCTACATAGATGTCAACTAGTTTAAATCCTCTAACATCTTTCACTAACCTTAACACACCGTTGTCACTATTCAGAGGCCGAAGTCCACATGAAAAGGAAAAGTTGGGATTTCAATACCATAAACACTTTATGTTACAATACCTCTCTATTTTGATCAAGTCTTCAATTTGCATATACGGCAGGAAATCTACATCACAATCCCAATCCATTTCAGTAACAACCTCACCAACATACAACTTCATTGGGTTATCTACAAAATGTCCCCGATGATGTAATCTCAATATGACAAGTTGGGTGTCGGGTGGCCTGCAACAGAACATATTAGGAACCACTCACAGACATTAGGGACCATAACATAGACAAATCACGTAAAATAATCAGTAAAGGCAATAGAACATAAAGAAATCGGGGATAGGACCAAACAAACATAAAGAATACTGGGATGAGACCACAACATCAAACAGAAACCCTAACCTAAAACCAAAACATCAACATAAAGAAGAGATACGAACACAGCGACACCGACCTTGTCACGTAGCTTAGATTTTCCATTGATGAGCTACACAGAGAGAACGATGATTTGCAATGGCGATTTAGCGTTCGTTGATCAAATATGAAGAGAGATGAGCAGATAGAGAGAGTAGAGCTTGTTTTTGTTTTGAATGTCATTTTTGAGAAATGAAATGGTTATTTACTTCTGCATTTAACATGATATTGGCTTATTTGCATAAATTAAACATTAAAACTATTATGAAATTAAAAAAATTGAATTATATTAATTTGCATGACATATAACTGACACATCATCAAAAATAATATCATGTCATACAAAACTGTACCCAAATTTAAAAGGGACCAAAACTCAATTTAGAAATTAAAAAATAAACTAAAATACTAAATTTAAAAATGAGAAGATCAAAATTATATAAAATGCTAAATAAGAAAATCAAAGTTGCAATTAAGTCAACTTATTTTTAATCTATATAATCAATTTCGCTTAGAACAAAAATAAATCTAACTTGTTTATCTTGAAAATAGACTCAATACATATATTATTATATTATAGTCCGGTCAATTCAAATTAGTAGTATAATCTAGGGAAGGCAACCTCTCTGACTACCACCAAACCATACTTTAGTGCTGCTTTTCCACATCTCACACATGACGTAGATACTTATAGATTTTTTCCTATTACTATTTTTTTAATCACATAACATGAATATCTCTGCTAATTCTTTTACATGTCTTATGCTAAGTAGTAGTTTGTGAATGTTGTAAAAAACAAAGAAAGAGAATAAAATGAATAAAACCAGAACAGAATTGATCCGATTCTGTGGCAGGATTTCACGGAACAGGTGCAGGCCGCGAGTCCGCTTGCTGATGGCGCGGACGGGTTTGAGTGGAAGAGGGAGGCGGACGGAAAGTTTATGGTTAATTTTTGCTTTAATTTGTTTAACGAGAAGTTGATCAGTCCTCGATTGATTTTAAATAGAATACCGATTAAGGATCAATTGTTGAAGAGAGGTATTTTGACGGATCCGAGTGACTTAGTTTGTGTTTTGTGTTTGTCATAGGAGGAAAATTTGTCTCATTTTTTGGAGAATTGTATGATTGTGGCGAGAATTTGGAGGAAATTTTTTGAGTGGATTGACCCTATAGAGGAGTTATCCTTGAAAGAATTTGAAGGTTTTTTTCGACTTTTGTGATAAAATCGGGAGTTTAACTAAAAGAAATATCATAGCCGTAATTTAGTTGACTACAGTTTGAAGTATTTGGTTGAAGCAAAACACGATCATTTTTAAGAATGAGAATTTTATTTTTGACGATTGTTTGTTGGAGATAATATTGAACACCTAGAATTGATTATGCTTTTATTGTACTCTTATAATTTTCATACTTAGAATACCCTACTTCTCCTTTGTTTTAGAATATAGAGATTTTCCATTTGTTATTTGGGTGGAGTATCATTTATACTCCCTTTAGTGATTTTCCTTACTATTAAAAAATAAATAAATAAATAAATATAGTGCATGTTTGATAACACGAAGATCCACTAGGATTATCACAAATCCATCTTAGCTAAACATACATATACTAAAGAAAATTAAATTTTTCTTTCACTTATCCAAAGAAATTTTATCAATCTTGTGAATGATAATTATATTGAAGCTTACATAAACTATAATCAATTTTCAAGTTCTATAGTTTGAGCTATTTCTAATAACATACACAAAAGTAGCATATATGCCAAAGATCATGTCATTGGATGAATTAGAGTAAGTTGACTCATAGAAGCATCCTCTAACTTTTCATCACTCTTGGAAATACACAAGTGAGAAATGAAAAGGGAGAACCAAATAATGAGTGGAGTTAAAAAGAAAATGAGACTAAAAGGTACCATCCAAAGTTGCTTATTTTTGGAATGATATTTGTGAAGCCACCATACCAACAAAGAGCCTCCAAATATGCTTATCAACAAAGAGAATACAAAGATCATCATGCAAGACTTTGTTCTTATCTTCTGGCTTTCATCGTAGTCTCCATTTTCCACTTCTTTAGCTTGTTCCATCTAATTGTAGCCTCACAAAGAAAAAAGGGTTGCCCTGAAATTGAAAATAAACTAAAACATGTTTCTCATATGCTTAAAGAAAAAGGTACAAAGAATATGAATAAAGAAGGAAAAAAACTTGCTTACAAGAGTTATGGAAGAAGAAGAATTGTGGTGGATATGATATGTTAGAGAAGGGAGCAAGAAGCATATGATAAGGGATTTTGTTTCTACAAGTTATATAAGTTTGTTTCTTTTGGACAATACTTATATGGGTGAGGGGAGATATTACTTTTGATTAAAGATGTCACTATTAATTAAAGACTATAAAAATTAGGCATAATTTTATACGTTATTGACACTATTTCATGAGGTGTAGATAACCGGGGTAGAAAGAAATTGACATTTAATATTAGTTAATGGAATTGTTTTTTCATTTGGACAACTAGTTTGTTTGTTGGGATGTTGTATTGGAAAGAGGTGGTTCACCATGTCAATTTGGACTCTCCAAAGAAAAAAAAAATATAAGAGAATATATCTTTCTCTTTCTCAAAATATATTTAGGCCCAACTCATCTTTCCTTGACTAAATGTCCAAAATTTTATGATGGATGCTTCTAGATATTAGACTATATTGTAAAATGATGTGATATAATTGGTAATTATTTCGCATGAACAATGTCATCATTAAACCGTCAAAGAAAAAGTGTATTAGTTATAAATATCGTACAATATTTGGTCTTTTCATAATTAAGTGATATATGTAGCCCAAACTCAAACTATCCTTAGAGCCTACTGCAAACTGTAATTTATCTCCGAACTATCAGAAGCCGGTATGAAAATTTTATAGTACGACTTTACAAAGAACCTTCTATCAGTCATGTATGACCAAACAACTATATCTTCAAGGTTGTAATCCAAACAAATATATACTAACATCTTCACTAGCTCATCTTTCTCTGATTCTACTAAACTCAAAGAAGAGTCTCCAGTCGAATTTACTTCGCAAATGTTCCATTGCCAACAACCATCGATCCTTTCTCTCATATCTTTAATAAAAGCCTCCTCTTTGCCACAGAAATGGAACAAATTCAAGTATTGGTCTGCAAGGGTGTTGTGTCCCACCCACCTGACAGTCTATATTGGAATATTGAGGTCTTCACCCATTTTGAAAGTCATCATCTTCAAAACACCACCCCCTGCATTTAAACCCAAAATCTTCATTAAATTTCGCCACCATAATGAGTCTTTGTTCCTATTTCTCAGTCCCTCATTGAACCACAATCTTATATGCAAATCCCCATATCACTATTGTAAAATTCCAACCCAAATAACGTCTTTTTCCATAATGAATCTCCACAACAATTTTCTAAGTAAAGCCATGTTGAAGTTGAACACATCTTTACATCTTTAATTCCTAACCGACCATGTTCCTTGTCTTTACATATCTGAGCCCAACTTACCCAAGAAATGTCCCTCTTCTCATGATCACCATACCATAAAAAATTCCTCTGTGTGCTTATGATTTCATTGAGAACTTTGAAAAAAGACAATTGGTATACATGTATGCTTGAAGGAAAGAGTTAATAAGAGTAACCCTACCCCTAATAGATAGTAATCTCTCATTCCATGTTGAGAATTTTTCTTTTAACTGAGAGATATCAGGTTTCCAAAAAGCACAACTCCTAGCATTTCCCCCAACCATTATGCCCAAGAATTTGAATGAAATACTATCAACTTACAAGATAGGAAATGTGAAGCATCCCCTAAAAACTGGTCACTAACCCCAACACCATAAACTTTACTCTTCCACATGTTTACCCTTATTCTAGATACCATTTCTAAACCTCTAAGAATTATTTTCATTGCCTAAGAATTAGGCCAAGAAGTCTTTTCCAACAAGCTTGTGTCATCTCCAAATTGTAAAAAATTGTAAGATACCTCATTATTCACCTCAAACCTTTAAACCTCCTCAAGCCTACTGCTTATCTTACCAAACCATTTAATCCTTCAGCCACAATTGAAAGTAAGAATGGGGAAAGAGGGTTCCCTGTCTTAAACTGATAACTACATTTTACACCATGTTTTTTGTCTCGATTTGCTTTGCATTTAATCTGTTTTTATCGTTTATTTTGTAGTGTTATTCGTTTTTATTTGATTATTATAGGTATTTTTTAAAGATAAGGATTCAGGCGAGAAACTGACAAAAGGTGCAAAATATGAGTGTGACTTCATCATTAGATGTTTTACATGATGTCAAAACTAGAAAAATTTAGAATTTCTGTATATTGGATGATATCTCTATGTCATGTGCCACTCCCTTGCATTAGAGGTCTTAGGAATCATTTAAAAAAGTTTGAAATTGGTCCAATTCATGAAAAATCATTTTCTGCATAATTTTTTTATTGTATGTGTCGACACATACATATTTCAGGTCGACACATACTGAAGCTTTTTAGAAATTGCAGAAATGCTGATTTTATGTGTCGACACATACAAACTTCAGGTCGACACATGTACTGCATTTTTAAAGGCAAAAATCTAATTTCTTGCTTAGGTCAACATATTCGTTTTTCAGGTCGACACATGCAGTTACAATTTGACTTATTTTTCGACACATACAATTTTCAGGCCGACACATACTATTTAATTGAGTTAGTTTTTCAATTATTTTTAATTCTGAAAATATCCTTTTTGCATCTAAATTTCCACAACTATAAATACATCATTCATGCATCATTCCAACTTGATGATACCATAAAAATATCCTACATTTTCTCTTCATCTTCAACCTCTAATCTACGCATACACACTAATATTCCTTTGTAATGATCTTTTCTCCGAGTTCCATCTAGATGAGGTTTGATAACGTCCAATTAAGTTCTTATATAGCCGAGAATATTGGGTTGAGATTTAAAGGGGTCTTTATCCGTAAAAACCGTAGGTTTATCCTCAAAGATCATTGATTAATTTGGGGGTTTTCGTGCAAGACATTCAAGAGAGGATTGCGGCCTAGTGAAAGCCTTTGGAGATAATGGATGCAAATGATCCTTTGAAAAATAAAGAATTCAAAGGAAGTAGCACGAGAGCGGAGAATCAAATTGAAGTCTTGTGTTACAATAGGTGCAATTGATGGTGCGCGAAAGCTTTAGAGATAAAGTACACAATGAAGTAGAAAGATCTAGATAATCAATTGACAGCTATTGTATCTTGATCTTGTTGAAGATCAAAAGGAGAGAAGGGGTTGAATCAACATCAAACTATTATGGTTTGTAGGATGTCTCTTGAACACTTATCTTGTAATCATGCTTTTTGCAAAGTAAGAAAGTATCCTAATACCACATTGGATTTGAGTGCAGACGTACCCACATGTAAGGACGAAAGTGGGGAACTGGGTAAACAAATCCCTGTGTCTCTTTTCTTTTATTTCTTTACTTGCTTTAATTTTCATACATCAATTTGTAAAAGAGCATTGAGTAATCTATCGATGCGTAGAAATTTTTCGAGATTATCTTTGTTTTGAATTGTGTATTGAGTTTCTTATAATCACTTTTGATTGCACACCAAGTGTTTGAAAATTGTTTAGCTTGTTCAACTCAAAGGAAAATTGCAATGTTCTATCTCTTACTCTCATTTACTCTCTATATGCAATTTGTTGAATGTGTTGTTTGATCGATCGATTCGTATAGAATTTATCTTTGATTATTAAAGCTTAAATTACTTTATTGATTAGCTTATAATCACTTTGATTGTAAGTGCTTTTTCATATCTACAAAGCTCAAGAAAATTCTGAAAAATTGATTCCATGCCACATGCTCGATAAATTCAAGTTATGGTTTTAATATGATTTCCTTGGAAATAAGAAAATGTTGTGTTTGATATTAAACTATTAATTGAGATATTATTATGTTGATTTATTTTATCATTATCTTAATTCCATATGGCTTGTGCATATTTGAGTTTCTAATAACTAGGTTTATTTAGACTATTATTTTGATTTAGGCCAAAAAACTTTCGCTCAATATTGTTTTTCAAATAAGTATTTAAGTAACAATTTTTGAAAGGTAATTTTTAATTGGGGATCTATTCACCCCCTCTGGATAATTCACCATAGTCTAACACAAAGTATTGAAGAAAATGCAGAATTTGCATGTTTCTGGTGCATGGTATTCGCCATGGCCTCACGACATTCGCCATGCACCCCATGGCCACGTCATCCACTCACTTAACCATGGAGTTCTCCATGGCCTCATGGCGTTCGCCATGGCTGCGTATAACATAAAAATCAGGAAACAAACTTGAACCAATTCACACCACTTCTCCTATTTTCTCTCCATGATTACATTACGATTTTGAACGTACTCTAGAGGTTGTAGTGACTATATAACAATAGTTTTAACCTATTTTAGATATCCAAGTTTATACGTACAAGTTTTAGTTTCTAAGCAGATATTTTCACCATTCCAAAGTGATAGAACCTCACATCAGAGGACTATCACACATTAGATAAGGATTTTTATTATGTTGCTTGGATCAAAATTGAAGCTTGCCAGCATTAGAAGATTTACGCCTTTCTTTTCTGTTCGTTGTATTCAAAGTATTCTCTATTTGTACTGCACTTAAAGTATTCCATTAATTTAATTCTATCTTTATTCTACAGGTTCTTTTATTTGCAATATCCCTAGTTTTATTTGCAAACCGTCAGCATTTTGCTCTCGCTCAATTTTAGATTTCAATGTTTGTGTTGTTGTTGTCCCGTACCTTTACCATACTCGCATTTATCTGTTTTAGATCTTAATCATGTTTAGGTTTGTATTTGTTAATTAAAATTGCTTGTTTAATTCAAATACCATATCTGAATAATTGTTTTGAGTCCGGTATGTAAGGACCACCATTCTGGCGGGACTCAGTAATGATTTGACGCAAATACTTTTCATGAAAATCCCTCTTGTTTGGTTTAGTTTTTATTTCAATATTTTCAAAAGTTTTTTTGTGATGATGAATTCATTAAGGTTTCAAACCAATAAAAACGAGAGTGTGAGGTTTGTACTAAATAGTAAAAATTAGACATCAATTTTAAACACAGCGAGAGTGTTTTGGAATTGATTATGACTTATTGGTTTTCAAAGAGTATTTCATAAACTTAAAATTGAGCGAGAGCAAAATGCTGACGGTTTGGAAATATAACAAAGG